AAGTAAATTTTGGAAAAGAACAAATGGATTCAGTTTATACAACTGTGCAATGAGATTTTGTGTTAGATACATAGCTAGGGAAATACTTCTATAGAGCCTGACTAGTCAGTGGTTGTGACTGGAGTGTTGAGAGGTTTTTGAGGAGAGGCGAATTTCATCCTGAGCTTTTTCAGTCCTGATATTGTTGGGCAATATTTTCTTCTTTAAAGATAAGTAGAAAGTGAGGTGAAAATGGTAGAAACATTGTCCAATCTGGTGGACAGACCAAGGTAAAGCCAAGCTGTACAACAATGTGCTTCAAGAACTATGGGGTTTTACAGACTCTTGTAGTGCGTTAGCCCTTGTGTATGCCATTTGCACCATGCATACATCTATCCCACACAGAATGAAATGACAAAGACAAAAAAGTGGTGATTTAATCCTCCCGCTCTAAAGCTAATTTCAACATTCACTCAAAAGCTAGATTCAAATGCCTAATGAGGAAGTTTGGTCAACTAATTTTCAGAAGATCCATTGCAAACTTGCACTCATCAAACCCACAAATATCAGATTATAGCAAAACTGCATATACTGGGCAAGATTATTTTGCTTTGAATAAATGCTTTTCTTTCCTCCCATTTTTTTAATCTCTTGTCTAAACTCCTGCTTAGTTTTCTTGTAAGTGGTTTTGATACCTAGTTGCATTCAACAGAACTAGTTGAATATTAATATTATTAATGTTTTTAAGCTAAACTGAAAGAAAAATAACACATTGCTTTATGGTAGCTATGACACTAAGAATGTGCTTTTTAAGAACTAAAATTAAAAAATTGTACTAATGTAAAAATAAATATTAATGTGAAGCTCCTGTATTAGTTAGATGAGATTTAAGTCCATGAATCTTACATATTTATCTTGTCAATGTATCAACCACGGTATTTCTGACTGTCTTTGAGGAATCAATAAAAAGATATGTGTGCCATTTACCCTTTTTTTAAAAAAAAATTGTATTATTTGCCTTTTTAATTTTGCAGTATTTAAAATTTCCTGTAATGGTTATATATGTGTGTCACTAATGCCTTTAACAGTGGTCAAGATAAAGCCAAACTTTCTTTAGAGAATTGACAGAAAAATCTTTATAAGTAGGGAGCGAAGAACTCTGGCCTGAACTATTCACTAAACAAAATGATGTGTTCCAGAAGGTGATTAATAAAATGTTCAGTCTGCTCCATGCCAGTACTGCTTGCTAATGGACACTCACAATTTCTGAGATGTTTGGAACACATCCATCTTGACTCCAGATGCAAAGACTGCCAAAATCTGCCAACCATTAGCTGAAGAGAATGAGAGTACATTTTTTGTAGCTTGAACTTTTCCAATACAAATCTGGCCTTAGCAAAGCTAAAGACTGCCGGGTAGTGAGTAGGGATTGCTTATACTCAGGTCAGTAAAAGCTTCTCCCAGAGACACTAATGTCTTTTCTTTTTGCTGTGCATTACTCTATATTAAAAGAAGAATGAAATTCTGTTTTATTCTTCTGACCATTGAACTGAAGTGCTTCATAGGACTGCAGTAAGAATGTCATCATCCATCCTTCAAAGTTCATGTAAGCTGGTATAATACATGTTTGAAAGATTGTTTAATTGCACTGTGTTAGAGTCCAGCTTTGAAAGCACAATTTCAGATACAAATCTGTAGGAAGCATTTGCTTGTCCAGAAATGATCACAGGAGTCCTTTGTAGTCCTGGAAGGATGCTCTTGTGATTTTGTGGAGATACTGCACTATATATTGGAGAGTGGTTTAGTAAATGTCCAGAGACAGCACAGGTTTTTCATATAGGAGAGTTTCTGCAGATTGTATGAAATGAGTATCAGGTACTAATTTGAGTCTTTTTTTTCTAGAGCCCAGATTTGCATTTTTAACACAATATTAGTCTTGCTTGGAAAGTAAATATTACACGGCATTTACTCTAAAGTGGTACATATATGGAACAGGAAATAGTTACAAAATATTTACATAGCATCTTTTGATAAATGCTGTCTTTTTATCACATTGATTATATTGAAAATATTTGACAAGTTTCCTGTTTTTTTCACTTGTTTTGTGTGGTAATCATCATAGGGATATTCATTGCTATGAGCAGAATAAATTAGCCTCAGGAGGGAACATGGGGTCAGTGGATATAGCACTGGGATGCCAAAGGCAGGGATTGTATTTTGCTTTTCATAATCTCTCTGCAAGTGGACTGGGACAAGTTAATTTCATCTCTGTGCCTTGGCTTCCCTTCATACAAAACTGATATATCAATACTTCCTTTGGAAAATGCATTGAGGTCTATAGAAAGACAAGTTATTTAAGAACTATGTGAGATCCTAGTGATACTGTAAATGGAACGAGGAGTTCATGATCGTTCACATTAAACCTTGGTTTGTTCTGTTTCCATCTCCTAAATGGGATGTTCTGCAAATAAGGATTTTCAGCATGAATTGGCTGGAGAGAATAGAATTACCTGTGGATCAGTCAGAGATTTATCAGTGGGAACTTTCAAGGCTGTAGCTCAGATTCTCTCCTGCTTATTCTGCTTCCTAATTAACTGCCCTGCATCAGATATGTTTTTTTGAAATGTTGCTGTTTTGTTTTAGTGGCACATCATGTCTGCTTTTTTTTTTCCTATTTTATGTCTTTTGTAATTCTTTTTATATATGTCAGAAGACAGTGAAGAAGCAGGACCTTTGAAATTCGTTATTGATGGAAACATAAAAACTTAAGATTTATATTCTGATCATGTATGTGCAGCAATATTTGTCAAAGGAACTTGTAGGACTTATCACTCACTTCTGTTGATTTTCAGTTAGAATTTCAAAGTCTTACTCCCTCAGGCTCTTTTTCCACTTCTTTATACCTTAGGTATCAATCTTATACATAGCAATGATTTAGTTGCAAAGCCACTGAGACAGAAGCCATGAGGAGGCTTTTAGGGCAGTTGTTTTCCTTGAATTCCCTGGTATTTCCAGCCAGAATTCATATGTTCCCCCTGCTTCAAGCACACTGTTCCTGCTGCTCCTGATCTTGCTGCTGCTTCTGATCCTCCATGGTTTTTTGTTTCATGACTTTCCCTGATCTACAACTGAACTGATAGATAACTTGGAATTTGTAAGTGGAATTTTAAGTCACACAATAATGAGGAAATAAAACAACATCTAAATTAGCAAATAAAACAGGGCAATTGAATGTGATCTATCATGGAGAAATGGGCAAATTACTTGTCAGAAGGCAATGTTTCTGGCAGTGATGAGAAACAGTAAAAGGTCAGGTATAATGTCAAAGAAATGTATGTTTTAGAAAGCAATTTTTTTTGACAGATATATTTACTAAAATATTATTAGAGATAATAGCAACTGACATTAAAGAAAGTCAAGCAAATTAATTTTTGGTGTTCCATAGTGTTAGTTTTATTTAATATTTGTTTGAATAACTATAATTTTAATTAGAAAAATAACAACATTCTATTGTGGTAATATAAGACCTCTCGATAAATCTAAAAAAAAATTGTGTGCTTGTAGGTTTTGTAAGATGAGTTTATGAGTATCCCATTGCATCATTCTAAAAATATCTCCCCCCCAAGCACCCGTCACAGTTCCTAATGACAACTGCTTTCTCTTCAGCCCCGCCATGCTCCTTCAGGTAACAGAATTCTCTTTTCTTTATTCCACATATTCATCTTAGCCTCTGGCCCTGGCCTGGAAAAGTTTCTCACAGCTCCTTGGCTCACCGACCAGAGTTGGTGAAAAGGGCTGTTGCTTCTTGCTGTCTACTCAGCACTCCTTTTGTATCACTCTATGACTGATGGAGAGAAAACTTAAGCCTTATTAATCAAGACACAAGGGAGCCAGCAGAAGGTGGTGGGGGCGGATAAGTTCCTTGAAATCACTTTTACATTGAAGTCTCTTGAATATTTTATATTGGTTGAATTTTATCAGAACTTGGCCATTCAAAGATAGTTTACTTGAAAATGGTTTATGTAAACTGTAGAATTTGAGGAGTCATTGCAATAGTACAGACTATTGTAACATACCAGTATTTTGAAATCAGGGATTCATTTTGCTCCTGTCCAACAAAACTGAAATTGCACCAAGGTAGCATTTGCCAATCCACAGAATACAGTTTGCCTCCAACAAAGGTTTTGAACTCTTCCATTCCCAATTTATATGCTGTGCTGACAGTAGCAAAACACTAATAATCCATTTACGATCCAAGTTGAAGTTAGTTGGTGAATTTACATTACCCATGTTTAATCAGTATCTTGTTTGTTTGTTTATTTATTTAGGGCAGCAATAAAACCCAGCAGGTGGGGTATCCAGTGCTGGGTGACCCAGGCATCTGGTCTAGGTCATCAGTCTGTTTTTGCCTGCATCCTTTTCTCCAGACTGTACTTCTGGTTAGGCATCAGAGTAGAGTTCAGCAAACAGTGTGTGTCACCCATTAATCATCAGGTCTTGTTCTTTTGTTAATAAAATCCATACCACTACAGAGTCTTACTTTTCCTCTTTGGAAGAATCTTCCTTATATCAGTTAATTTGGGTATATTGCACCTTTTATGGGTAGCCTTGTTTCCTTCCTTCCAGTCTCAGCCATTCTCTATGCTTTTGAAATGCTGGCTTATTCACCTTCAGGTGTGTCTGCTGCAGGAACTGTTTAATATCCTTCTTAATGTATAATAGCTGTGTTTATTGAAATTACCTCTGTCACACATACTATGTGCATCAGGTACAGAAATCTAAATATTGAAAGGGTTTAATATACAAACAGCAGCTCGCAGTCTTGAAGCAGAATGTCACACCCTTAATAAATTGACTTCCTCTCTATTATTTTGAGTATTACACAATTTTGTGTGATGGTTATTCTCCCTTGACAATTTTACTTGGGGAATTTTTGCAAGCAGAGCTTTTCTGTTTTGGCCCTCCAAGAGCAGATTAATATTTCATTGTGTCAAACAGCACTTATGTTTATTCCTTTACAGGAATACACAATAGATGTGTTCTTCCGTCAGAGGTGGAAGGATGAGAGATTAAAGTTTAAGGGCCCAATGAACATTCTTCGATTGAACAACTTAATGGCCAGCAAAATCTGGACCCCAGATACATTTTTTCACAATGGGAAGAAGTCAGTGGCTCACAACATGACAATGCCAAACAAGCTTCTACGGATCCAAGATGATGGGACTCTCTTGTACACCATGAGGTAAGTCTTTTCATCTGTTCTCTGCTCAAGCTATTTCTTGATACGATTTTCTTTATATGAACCTAAATAAGGTTCCAGGAGGACTCTCCTTTGCTTCATTTCTGTACCAGTGGAAAGCAAGCTAGGAAAATGTATGTTTTATTTCCAATGCTGTTACAAGTCTGTTGGCCGACTATGAGTTAGATCAGTTTTGCTATGTGTTATTCCATTCTCGTACCTCTATAAACTATTAAAACATACTGATTATTTGCATAAAATGCTTCAAGACCTTCAGAGGGAAATGTCTATGTGAGAATTGTTAAGAATACTCAAAGTTTACGAGCTTCATCTTAACATAGTACAAATTTTGCCTGTTACTGCACCCATCGTACTGACCAGGTGAGCCCTTAAGCAAATTTATTATTAAGATCAGTGACAATAAAAAATAAAGAGGAAGAAGAAAACATTAATAATGCCTCAAATTCCTTGCAGCAAGAACTACAGAAAAAAAAAAAAAAAAGACGTTTTTGTCTGTAGTAACTGTTCCTTTAGGTCTAATTAAAATATTTTACTTTATTTTTAATAGTTTTAATTTTTGCATCCTGAGCATGATTGACAGCTAAGATAAACACTTAGCTGGTAAAATGTATTAAATTTGCTTAGAAAAGAATTTGTGAAAAATTATAAATATCGTGTATGCATAGGCATACCCAGGTTTTTTATAAGGCAAATTTATTTTTCTGTTACTCCTTTGCAATATTGTTACCTACATGAAGTTTTTTGGGTTTTTTTCTGTTTTTGTTTTTTTTTAATCCAAGTTTCCAGAGACCCTTGATTTAGTGTCTTGCTTTTTCTCTGAGAATATTTAATAAATTGAATTTGTTGTGTATGTAGATTTAAAATCCCTAGCCTAAGTAAGATATAAAATGTGAGCTGTAAAGCAAACAGACTGTGCAATTTTTTCCATGCAGCTTTATCAGCATGCCTTAAGCCTCATTTACTATAAAACACTCAAACCCTTACATTATTGAATGTTGATGAGTAGACTGCTAATAATGTGGAATGATGTGGTGGTTGGAGAGGTTCACAAAAGTTAGCTGGAAATAAATTGAGGCTCCCATTTGTAGTAATTTTGCTTGGGCTGAAATCACTGTTGGAATATCTATCTATATAAACTGGCTGAAATTCTCTCCTTCCAGAAGGTATAATCACATGCTATAAAAAACACTGTTTGAAATCATTATGAAGATTTTTATTTTTTTAAAAATATAAGATATGTCATGCCAGCTAGAATTAAATAAGCATCTTTGTCACTTGTAAGTATGTTGCTTCTGTGGGCATGAAATTACTATGTGAAGTGTCTAAATCTTAAACAGGCATTTTTATCTGTGTCTATTTAAAATTATAGTGTGATTTATATCAGTGGCTCATGCAGTCCTTTCCTTTGCCTTCAGCTGTTTGCTGACTCCTCTCTCTCTGCCCCTTGACTTCAGAAAAAATTTCCTGGGGAATGGGAGAATAGAAATATGCAGTACTTTTGGGTGGAAGAACAGGAGAATGTAGGACTATGGACCACTGGGAGTACAGGTGGATGTAGCTGATATTTGAGGCTGGATGAAGAGGAATGAGGACATATAGAAAAAGCTCTCTATTCAGAGGAGGTTCACAGGCTAGGAGGGGTAAATTTTTTTTTATGTATTCTTTATTTATATTAAAAATACTGGAAAGGAAAAGTCTGTCAAAAACTTTCTTCAAACTTTTAAAAATTATTTTTTATCATATTAATCCCCATATTTGACACTGAGATATTGCTGGGATTTTTTCACAAAGAGACCAAAGTGAATGCATTGTTAAAATACTGTCACATTTGTACATAAATAAAAAATAATCAGAAGTAACACAGAGAATGAGTAGCAGCAATCTTTTGAAGGAATGCAATTTTTGTTTCCTACATCTTTCATTCAAACTTTTAAAAAAATCAGAAAACTATGGAGCACAGTTCTTTGGCAAATTAACTGTATTTTATGTGCTTTTGTAATGAGCCTTTGAGAGGCATATAATCACACACGTACCTCTGAATATTATGAGAAGAAAATGGCTGCTCTTAACAACCTGAAGTTATATAATTTATATTTTTATTTAAATGGCCTTTCCTCATAGTTTTGAGGTCAGCTCTTTCAGGTTTTTGATGTGATAAGTCAATGCCTTCCAAAGGAACACATAAAAGGGAAGAAGCAAGAGCTGATTTAAATTTTAATTAGTTTAATATAGCATTTCAGTTTCGTCTCCTAAATCAGCATGAACTCTGTTCATTTCTGTGGAATTGATTTTCTTGTCCTGCTAACTGACTTAAACGCGTAGCGCTCTTTTGCCTTTTAGGCTTACAGTCCAAGCTGAATGTCCAATGCACTTGGAGGACTTCCCTATGGATGCTCACTCATGCCCACTGAAATTTGGGAGCTGTAAGTATATAATGAAAGTGTTAGTGAATAGCTAACATTGCTCAGTATCATTTTGTTTCAGGACGTTGTTACATGAGAGGTTTAAATCAGAAGAGGGTGCTTTTTAAAAACTTTGCAACCTGACACTTCGAAATCTCTTTTTTTCTATTCAGGGTTGTGTCTTCTAATGTATTGCTTGACACCAGTTTACCATAAACACTATACACCTAATTCAGCACTTTTATTCCAGCATGCAAACTGTACCGATGAATGCCGATATGGGTGCACGTAGCCTGTGTAGTATTAATGAAAAGCAGATTAAAGTCTTCAAAGAATGTTTTTTCTCATTTATTGAAACATTGATTTTCTCTTTATTGTTAATGATACTTGGGTTTACATTCTTATACAATGAAGGCAAATGCTGATAAATATTTCACTCATTAGCTCATCTGGATGTTATAGATTGGGCGACTTTGGTCTCACTAGTATTATTTAACAGCAGCGTAACTTCATTTACCTATAGCACAGCCTTTATTCTTCATTGTGAATTAGGATCACATTTTATGTATTTCCTGGATTTTGTATGCTAAAAGGTTTTCTTTGTTTTCTTTGGCTGCAGCCTAGAAAAAGGAATAGTATTTTGAGGAAACCTGTTAATACTTTCAAATTCTGTCTGATTTTGCATTAACTGCAGCTCCACAAGTTACAAAACAGGTGATATGCTGCTGCTAAAGATGCCATTAACCAGATGAACATTGTCAAAGCACTGTCAAAGCACTCTCCATAACCCTGACACATCCTTTTTCCTTGGAGTTTGGAGCAAATTAAACCAAGTTTGTGTTTCTGATGATGTTTCCACACTAGAGGGAAATCTTAGCTGTGGAGATAAAAGATCATTAGAATTAACAATATTTCTATCACAGAGCTTCTTTTGCCCTCTAAATATTGTATTTATAATACATAATACATATTAACTAACTACCACCAGAGATGTTAGCTGAAATCAGCTACCAACTAATAATATTTACATATATGTGCGCAGCAAGATATATTTGATTTATAAGGTGTGGGTAGAAAAAAGACTCATGTAGCCTCAAAACAACTTAAAAACCTATAATAATAATAATAATGAAACTTGCCAAGAGGCAACTTTATAGTACGACTTAATTTGCATTACTAAATTGGAAACCCTTCTGACTAGGTATATTAGACTTTGTGTGAACTTTGTGTGGATTTCTTTGCTTACTAATTTGTTCTTTGTTCTGTGCTCATGACTTCTGGTTTCTAGTAAACAGGAGAACTCAAACTGTGGGAAATGTGATTTTAGAAAAGCTGTCTTTCGTTTCCCCCATAGTCACCTCTGCTCCAGCCACATTTCCCTTTATTTTAAATGACTTCACGTTCATTTAACCTCTTTACCTAGAAGTAATTTCTAGACTACTGTGCATTGTTCAGCTTTTATTCTAGAATTTAAATGATGAATAGTAGTGAAAATAATCAGAAATCTTGAGGATTTTGGTTTAGGTGAGGCAAGTCGGCCAGTGGTTTGTGTTTGTCACAGCTCTTCATATGCTGTTAATCTTACATTGCTCGGAGGATCATTGGCCTGTATGATTGTCTCAGGTGTTTTTTTATGAAAGAGAAGTGAAACTGAGTTTATTAGAGAAGCTGTATCTTAATAGATTGTCTCTCCTTACCCTTATCAAAAAGTCTAGCCAACAGTGGGGAAGATCATGACAAATCAGCAATTGGCAATACTGTTGGTTTGCATTAAAGCAGAGGTCTTCTTGTGGGAAGCTGCAGAGATAGAAGGGAAGTGTCAAAATTCCCTATGTGCTACCCACCTGCTAGATTTTGTTAGACATGCAATTTATGGCTAGTTGCATGAAGGAGTTTCTTTGTGAGTCTTCAGAGATTTCTCAACAAAAAATGTTTTCAGCCCAACAGAAATGTTGTTTTTCTTTTTCACTTCACTACAATTATACTAAGACTTAAAATGTCAATCAAAATGAACACACGATTTTTTCCGTCAGTGGTTTACTTTTTCCTTTCATAGGATATTTGACTGGAAAAACTTGCGGGACATACTACATTTTTTTTCTTTCTTACTTACTGGAGAGGCATTAATGCTATTTAAAATACAGTGTTGATTTGCTTTCATTCTAGTTTGTTGTGACAGACCCTAGGCTAAATGTATGTTTGATGATGAATGCACTGAGAGAGCAGTTTGCTTAATGTCAGTGTCAGTCCCACAAAAACATGCCAAGGAGTGAAATTTAAGAGGGTGTGCAGGGCGAGTCACTACACAGAGTCACTACAGATTTGTTAAGAGCACTGAACCTGGCTACCCATATTTAGGTATCAATTTCAGCTAGGAGTAAAATGCTTGTGATACACTCCCAAAGTGGAGAGTGAGGATGATGGGAAGTCAGAACAATATAATGAATTTTCAAAAATCATAGAATGGCCTAGGTTGGACAGGACCTTAGAGATCGTCTAATCCAACCTCCCTGTGTGTCCTAAATCTTGCAAATTGTACTTTTCATCTGGTTTACCACAAATTTTAGCATATATATAATATCTAATCTCTGACAAGTTTTTTAATAGTGCAGAAGAGATATTGTTTATAATTTAGTAGCAATAAATTCTGGTTAATAAGATCATAAATGAGTGCCCTGTTTCCATGATGCGATAAGCATTTCCCCTACAGTAAAGCTATTTTGAATGGCCAAAAATATTTTTTACCATAAATTTTTTGTGGTGTTCTTTTTAAATTTAAATTGCTGACAAAATATTTTATCTTATTTCCCACAGATGCGTACACAACTTCAGAAGTGACATACATTTGGACTTACAACGCTTCAGACTCGGTGCAAGTGGCACCAGATGGCTCCAGATTGAATCAGTATGATCTTTTAGGCCAAACAATTGGAAAAGAGACAGTTAAATCAAGTACAGGTTAGTAAAACATATTTTGGAAAAAAAAGGCAGTCACTTGGCTATGAAGACCATAGGCATTGCTAGTGGGGTAAGAAAGCTAATGAAAAAACTGTTGCAAAATGTGAGCTATAAAGCAGAGTCTATTATTGTATGGCACAAGTAACACATAGCAGCACTTTACTGATTCTTTCAAATTAATAAAAATCTGATGATAGCAAAGATGAACTTGTCCCCAGTGATTGGGTTTTTTGTGCTATCTGGAGCTCAGTCTTGAATCCTAATGTTCTTAACCCCAGACTGGGATAATTGTTTAATTTTAGATTGTAAATTACATCTTTTTTGTCTACTAAATGGTGAAGCAAGCAAGTTTCAAATGTTTTTTTTCTTCCATCATGTTTTTGGCATTAAACACCAGTTATTCTACCAGATCCTGGACTGTGTTCCTACATGTGCCAGGTTGTGATGGACCCTATGGTTGCCTTCTGACTTTACGTTAAGTTATCAGGGTGGCTTTGTGTGAACGCAGAGAGTTGCTTATGTGTGGAAGCCTGCAGGACTGAAGTTCTTGTCAGGGCATAGAAGAGTGCCTGCAAGTTCCTGAACACTAATCTTTCCTGAGGCACTAAGATATAGTCATACTCAGAAACTTTCTTATGTTCTGTAGGATGCTTTGTACTACAAAATGGGTTCTGTGCAATTTAACACTAGCACATTTGCTTCACATAAACCTACCAAACTTTCTTTTACCAAGGAAATGGACTTTCTTAAGATGATAACCTTCTGTTTCATTGTATTTTCCTTGTTTGTGGCGCCTAGGTGAATATACAGTAATGACGGCTCATTTTCACTTGAAGAGGAAAATTGGTTATTTTGTCATTCAGACTTACCTCCCCTGTATCATGACTGTCATTCTCTCTCAAGTGTCATTCTGGTTGAACAGAGAATCTGTGCCTGCCAGGACAGTCTTTGGTGAGTATAGTGAGTAAAGTCAGTTTTGTCTGCACCAGCTGGAGCTGTTAGGAAACATTTCTGAAGCCTGCTTCGTAAAGGCCTTTTTTATGCAAGTTAGTGTGTTTATAGAATGTGGTACTATTTCTAGTCCAAACAACTTTCAACAACTTTCAGATCTCCTGAGACTCCCAAAGTTTTTGGAAATTACCACTGTCTGTATAATCTTGACTGTTTTGGGAGGAGAAAATTGTCACTGAATGGACAAAGATGATAATGTTTCTATTTACAAATTAAATTTTGATTATTTTATTAAATGTCTTACCTTACATATTATCCAAATATTTTGATACTTGGTAGATAAGCACATTTTCTTATATAATTGTAAGTTAAGCAAATTAAATTTGAATTTGTTGAATTATTCAAATATGTTCTTTAAAAGCTGTTCTTTAAAAGAAACCCTATTTTGGGGTTCTGGGCAAAACTTTCTCACTAATTCAAATTGGAGCGTGCAACAAGGCAGTAAACAGCTTCAGCAGCATGAAATAATGGTGTTTCTCTTACAATAAAGTTTTGCTCTCTTCTTTATTAAAGCAAAGTAAAAAATGTCTTTTTTATTTGCATAACGTAAGGTTCTTTTAATTTGTTTGCTTTTAGAGAAAAAGAGACTAGCATAACAAAAGGAAAGTAATGTCTTTGTGGAATCAGCCATCAGAAATGCTGCATAAAATTGTATGATTAGTCATCAGTAAACACCATGCACTCTTCAAAAAATAGGCCAGACTCAAATGCATATTAAGTATGATGCCCAACAATGCACTTACTGTCTCTCCTGGTAGAGAAAATGCCACACAAAGCATTGTGAAAATTGCAAGTTCGAATATGAGCCTTACTGAAGCAAAATGAAATGGGTCAGTGATTTTAGTGGGACCAGAATTCTAACATGTTTTCCCAGGGAGGTATCTGGCAGATTTGTTTTTTTCATTTCTTCAAAATCTTCTGTGAATTTGTCAATTTTTGCTTATCAAAATGCACATTCCTGTCTCTAGTCTTGCAAGTACATTGTCAAATCCTTCTCTTTTCCCCCTTTTCTGTACCCCCTGCTATACATTTAGGAGAATGTAAATGGTTTGTCTAAAAAAAAATCTCACATCTTCTTTCGTAAAATGCACTTTCTATAACCGTGTCATCCGTAAAAAAGGAGTACATCAATAGCAAGGCACTAGGATAATTTTCCTGGAATGTTGTTTCTCTTTCTGCATACCTCTTTCTTATTCTTGATCTATTTTTTGTTTAATTCATGGTGGTTTTTGTGGTTTTTTTTGAAATAAGAAATATCTGCATGGCAGCCTGCTGCTTTACTCTCCTGGGGGTTTAGCATATTATGGATAATGAACAGGGTCTTCTTTCAGGATATCTTGAGCCAGTGGGGTAGGATGGCCACAAGAACAGAACCACATCACCCAGTGACATAAAATCTAAAATCTGTTTACTGAGTGCAGCGGGTATATCGAGGAGATAACAATTTCTATGCTAGTATTTTACTTCTGCCTCACAGATACGCACCTCATGCACCAGTTGGGACTCTGCCCCCTCCAGGCCAGTTTAGGCTGAACACAAGGGAACATGGCATGTCCAGGTTCTGTGTAACGGAGCAACCCAGCCACTGTTTGCAGCATTTGCACCTCAGGCTTAGCCTTCCACGTTGGGCTGGATGTCCCCTGAGGAGCTGCTTTTACACTCTAGATGAGATTACCAGCATAAACTGCCAATGACCTCTCTAATCATGTCGCCCCAGGCAAATCTCCCAGTCTTTCTCATACCTACTGGCAGCAGTTGTCATTGGGATTTCTGATACCCTCTGGTCTCCTGCCTAAATGTGTTACAAAAATGTGAAGTTAGCCATAGTTTCATAACAGAGTTCATCTATTGCTTCTTACTGCTTTCTGGCTTGTACTGAGTTAATCTTGACAGTTAGAACTTGCCAGGTACACTCAAGGTCTCATTGGGCTGGTACTTTCAGGTGGACTCCACCCAGTGACATATGAAGCCCATACTACAGCTATGTTAATAAAACAAGCTACTTCAGTGGGGAATATAAAAATTGCAGCAGTTTTTATTTTAAATTCTTACTGACCATACTTAATTTTTATTTTCTGTACAGAGTAGTCACTTGCTAGATACCCATATTTTCACTGTATAACAAATATATCAATATTAAAATATAACTAATTAGAAAATATTAATTTTGATAAAGTAGTTTTCAGAATCAATGAGAAACTTTTATCAAGCACTTTCTTGAGAGCTACTGAGTCCTGGAAAGGACTAACCACTGGAGTGTACTGTTCCTTTCAAAGAAACATAACTCCCAGTTATTCAAAGCACCACTTAGCACCTATTATTTCATGTTTGAAAGCAGTTACTTTTCTTTCCCCTTGCTATTCTCTCACAACGTAGTTTCACTTTCTAGGTTAACATTAAGGGTTTGGTATAATAAGGCTTCTTTTACAGTTGAGCTCTTTAATCCCTTTCTTTTATTGCATCTATTTAATTTTATTGACCTAAGCTATCCTAAATGAATTATGGCCTGATGTTATATTGTTTTAACTTTGCTTTAAAATATTGGAAGAAGAAAGTTTTTTCATTGTTAATTAAATAAATCTTGAATGTGTTTTCTTTAGCAGATAAATTTGAAAAGGATTTGATTGCATTTTTAACAAAAGGGAATAAGCCTGGTTCATAATGCCTTCATTTAGTGCAAGATTACAATCTATTTCATTTAGTAATGTGTTTATTGTTACAGATTTAGCGTCAACAATATTCGCAAAACTAATCTTGTGCAGCTTATTGAATTCTTGCTTCATTTTTAATATGTCATACTTAGAAGCATCACATATATTTGAATATCGGCATTAGATGCAGGTGACAGACAAATCAGAAATTAGTTTTCTTAGTGCTACAGTCAGCTGTGTGCTTTAATTCAGATAGAGTGGGAATGAGATGTTATTTATTTTCTTATTTAGATCTTTCCTGGTATCTGAAGCAGGAAAGAACAAAAATCAATAGTTGTATTATTTTTCAGTACGTTGTCCAAGATGCAGAATTTTAAATTCACATAGCTATGTTATTTTGTTAGGACTCTGTTCTTTCTGATCTTTTTATTCTTATGCTGCATTCCTATCCCTGTGTTTTGCCCATTCTTAATTTAACTTTTCTGAACCTATATTAATTAATATGCTTTTGAAACAAAAAGCAATGTAGACCTGAAATACCTTTTTCCACTTTTAAATTGTGGAACTGTAAAAATGGGAGCCTAAGACAAGTTCACCTGTTCTCTGGTTATTTTTACACGGGAATTGAATAATGTAGACCCTTCCTTTTGAACAATTCTGTATGTACAAATTACCTTTTCCCATTTTGTTGGAAAAAAACCCCCTCAATTGTCTTAATTTACTTCTACTTTCACATGCTGAAGATCTTTTGTGCCATTAGAGTTATCCCACCACTTAACAACTTTCAGTCTATAATTTCTTAACTGGGAATTTCTGCTAAATGTGGACATAACACTCCAGTGGTAGGCAGTGGGCAAGCATACCTGGAAAACTGTAGCCCTCAGCTAGAGACTGGGCTGGCTGCAAATGAACTAATACGTCTTCTCAGCTCAGTGGTGTGCCAAGACACCAGCTCATGTTCCAGTGGTGGCATAATGACACATGACTTTTACTGGAAATCGGGTAAATAACACTTGCCATTCAGCTTTGGGAATTAGGTTGGCCGTTGATAGGTGGGGAGCTCTGTTTCACTGCTCGGTATTGGTACAGTGAGGCAACGTGAGCACCGACTTCACAATGTGTACATGTAGCTTGAATGACTGACAGAATGCAACTTTTCTGGAAATAGTTTATGTTATGGTCCTTGGCCTCTCATACTCTTTAAAAAGGCTTCTGGCCTTTTGTGTTTTTTGTAGTAAAAAGAGTAGACAGAGCACCTGAGCTGTTTTCTGCAATCTTTCTCTCAATGGTTGTTCAGACTTATCTCCTAGTAACATGAGGAGGCTAGGGCATAACTTAGTTGACTAAAATGTGTTCAAATTAGGGAAATCAGATGTTACACAAGAGGGCTGAAAGAACTTGTCCCTGTCAAGATATAGCCTGATGTTTGCACACAAATGGCTTAAACTAGTCATCATGACATGTTTTAACTTTTATTTATGTTCTACCTCCTCCGATTTCCACTGTGTGTTTTTAGTTAGGCATTTCTATTTTTTCAGTTTATTGCTTCTGCTGTTGCATGGCAGTGCCCTACACCATTGAAGTGATAGAAATTGGCTGTGTAACTTTAAATACATCTTGAATGATATCCATCTGTCATGGAATCCAAAATATTACAGAGTTGGTATTTTCCACATATATAAGTCTAGTGAAAAGTCTTGAATTTACAGCCCTGGAGACAGATATCCCCTCTCCAGTGAGCATACGCTGTTTCAAAAGTGGCACCATAAAAGAAATCCAAAGCAATCAAATAGCTCCAATCATGGCCTGAATAGATAAACCTGTAGTGATAGAAGATATTTAGCTTTTATAGGCATGCACTGCTGACAACAGAAGTTGTAATGATATTGGGGTATATTTACTGTCAGATATAAAATGCTTGGTCCTCTTTTGGAAATGTCAATGGTTTATTTTTTTGGATCCTTTTGGCACCCATTTAGTGCCGCATCTGCTGGTTGCTGAGCTATAGAAGATAGTTCTTGACTTGTATATAGGTTGTGGACTGTCTACATCATAGTGAGATATCATGCAGTCTTTGTGAAACAAATATGTTTTCTTTTACGAATTGACCATATTCCTCCACACTAATAATTTTTTCAGTCCTCTCAGCTTTAGCAGTGACTAAATAATACTTGACTTCATAATACTGGCTTCAGTATTAAAATAATATAATATACTATATAATATAT